TGACCATAGAAAGTCTGCCGATAATCTATAGGTGTATGGCCGGCTTTAGGGCCTATTTAACACTTTAGCATATGCCAGCGCACTAAAACATCCAAAAGTCAGATGTATCACATTTGTTACGCGATGCACCACATTGCATCATGCTGCATTGAGACGCTTCATTGCCTGTGCATGACCTTAGTGCGTTGGGGTGCCATTTAAAATAATGTAACACACATTGCTGCATAGAAGTTAATGGGCCCTTAAGAGTCTTTGTCAATAACTGATGCATTCTGACACTGCTAAATCCCATCTGGGCATCTAAGCTTCCCTGACCTCTAACCATAAGGGGTTCAAGAGATGATAATGTCATCAGCAATCACTTTCCTCCCAATAAGAAATGTCATTGTCTTGGTGCCCTCAGCCTGAGTGTATAGAGACTTGAGCTGCTGAGCGACAGAAGTGTCCGGATGGTGTATACAGCACCAAAGGATGTGCACAGTGAGAAGAAAGTGCATTCCGTGAGTGCATATCAATGACAGACACAGATGTAACACGCCAAATATTCACATTCCATAGAGAAAAGAATGTAGATATCCCTCTGAATTATTTCCAGTAAAAGCTGAACTCCGAGAGGAGTAAATATTGTCCTCATACAAGTCATGTGCCTTCTTCCCGGAGTCTGGGTGAGCTTTGTGTATTCCTTCCAGATCCGTGCCGTGATCCAGTGTGAGGAGCGTCTGTATGTTCACATATACGAGTGATAGAAATGAAACGATCTCCACCAGACTGACACATACACAGCTAAGAGAATCATATTTAATGGGGCTTACACAAACTGTACAAAATCATACACAGAAATATACAAGACACGGAGGTGGCTGTGGATCAGGATGGAGTCTGTACTTTATCTGGCACGCGGAGCGATCTCATTTTATGGAGGTTTCGCAGTTTTTCCTGCGCAGATTCTCCGATCTCTACTTCGGCTTGATCCTCCAGCGACCTGCGGAGACAGCGGGTGAGCTCCTGCATTCCTCGGCCGGAGACAGCGGATACCGGGAGGATGTGTCTGAAGGTGATCTGCTGCTCCGGGACTAGCTCTTCCGGCAGCATGTGGACATAATCTGCAAAGTGGAAACATGTCTGTGAAGGTTCTTCTCCAGGTCATGTGATCTGTACAAGATCAATCCAGGCAACTGGACTTGCGGTATTTATTTTCATGGTAAACAGCAAAAAAAAGAGATAGATGGGGCTTTTAAGGT